CCCCCCCGGCCCCTTTCACCTTTCAGGGATCCCAAAAGATGTGGAGTGTATATTTGGGAAGGTTGACTATAAGCTGATTAGAGCAGGTGAGAACCGAAAGTGGTAAGTAAGAGAGGGAAAGAAGAAATAGCAGCGGCATTATGCTGCTTCCTTAGGTCTACCCCCAGGTCTGGGCTCCCGGCAGGTAGGGCCAGCCCAGCCCTGGTAACAGCGACAGCTAAAGGACTCCCAAGTTCCAAGGCTGCCATCTGGCTGCATGTGCAGAAATGCTTCCCTTTGTTCTGGGTTTCGGCGGGCACAACGCCCATGACCATGGCACTGCTGTTGACTGCAGGCCATGGTTGCTGTGGTCACATTGGTCACATATGGGCCTAGAGTGCCCACCAGGTAGTCATGGAGATGCCAGCACTCCTCCTAAGGAAAAAAACATGTCAACTGCTTCTGCTTCATGGCCTTGATAGGCTTTCTCCCCTAGCCCACCCTGGGGCCCCAGCAATGTGAGATATAGCTGGCTAATAGTGGAAATGATCACCTCAGAGCTGGAGAAACTCAGATCCCCCCAGAGCACCACGCCGGCTGCTCCCAGTGCTGCACTCACACCAATGGTCTGTATCAAGTCGTCCTGAAAGTGAAGAGCTGAGTCAGACCTGGGTTGCTAGATCCATCTGGATCTACCTCTTTTTTTCAAGAGATTCCTTGGGGCCAGGGAGAGAGGTCAGTGGTCTAAGCACCTGCCTGGCAAGCACAAGGACTCAGGTTTGATCCCCAGTGCCGAGCCAATCACTGAAACCAGGCCCGAGACACAAGGATCATGTATGTTTGAGCTGCATAGTGAGACTGTGTACCAAATTTAAAAAACAAAGAACCAACTTTAAAATAGGGAGAGAGCTTTTTACCAAGATGGTGCCGAAGGCAAAGAAGGAAGCCCCTGCCCCTCCCAAAACTGAAGCCAAAGCAAAAGCTTTGAAGGCCAAAAAGGCCGTGCTGAAAGGCATCCACAGCCACAAAAAGAAGAAGATACGAACGTTGCCCACCTTCGGCCATCCCAAGACGTTGCGGCTCCGGAGGCAGCCCAAATACCCTCGGAAGAGCGCTCCCCAGGAGAAACAAGCTTGACCACTATGCCATCATCAAGTTCCCCCTGACCACAGAGTCAGCCATGAAGAAGATTGAGGACAACAACACACTCGTGTTCATTGTGGATGTCAAAGCCAATAAGCACCAAATCAAACAAGCTGTAAAGAAG